CTGTATGAGAATTCGACGCGGGCCACGGAGGTCGCTGACTACGCATAATCTATAGATCAATAATTTACATGGCTCTCCGAATCCATAATGTAATTGCGCCGCTGTGCACGGACAGAAGCTTTCTAGCTGCATGACGACGGAGCCGCATAGGTACGGACGGAGCACAACTTTAATATTACCAGCATCCCCCCCATACTCCCACATCTAATAGATATGAGAGTTTAATAATATCATTAGTATATATATATATCCATACCTATATATATATAGATTTATATTAACTTAATCACAGAGGACATATATCCTCATCATCCACCTCATCTACTCACTCTCATCACTTCATCCATCCACTCATGCATCCAGATATCCTATCCATCCATTCGCATCCATCCACTTCCAGTCCATCTCCATGTCCATCCACTCCCCACTCCACACTCCCCATGCGGATCCATCATCAATCCATCCATCGCACTCCATCCCATCCATCAAGTCTCCTATTCATCCACTCCCACCTCGCAGTCGCGATCCATCCATCCACCATGCCAGGTAACTTCCATCCATTCCATCATCCACTCTCCATCCATCCATGCCATCCATGCATCCATTCCATCCACTCCATCATATGCCTACTCATCCAGGTTCCGGATGCCAATCCTATCACATCATCCATCTTAGTCCATCCACTGCACATCCATCCATCGCATACCAATCATCCCATGCCATCCATCATCCATCCATCCATCCATCATCCATGTCCTATCCACTTCAACCTCCCGGAGTCCATCGGGGCACTCCATGCCAGTTCGGATCCATCCATCTCGCATCCGATCTCCCATCCATCCCACTCACCTCTCCTCCCATCACTCACGTCCTATGCCATTCCACTCATCCATCAATCCCATCCATCCATCCTATCATCAGTCCATCGCTCGCATGTCCACTCCATCCCATCCATCATCCTATCCATTCTCTATTCCTATCATTCATCCATCCATCCATCATCCATCCATCCCATCCAATCCAATCCATCCATCCATCCAGTCCATTCTATCTAATCCGTGTGTGTCTTAGTCTAATTCTATCATCGTGCTTCTAATCTATCTCTCTCTCTCTCTCTCTCTCTCTCTCTCTATATATATATATATATATATACATATATATATCGGTCTTCATCGGTGGACGTATGTGCGCTATAGACCCACATTGTGCAATTCGTCTGCTTGAAACTAGACTGGTTCCTTTTCCCACCGCCCCATTTCGTTAATTCTATTAACGAGAGGTGGAGTCAGTCTGGCTTCACACAGGGGCGCTCTATAGTGGCCACCGTTGACTCGCTCGCGTTAAAATCACACTCGAAACTCCGACAAAAGTCGCAGGTCGCGCTGAAAACGCTGAGCTGCTGGTTGACACGCCCCGTGTCGCCTACCTTCTGATAACGACACCCTCACCTGCCACGTCACGATCTCCTGTGGCTACGTGGTGTCAGGAGTTAATAATAACAACATTTGTCATTATTAACCCCTGGTGGTATAGTAGCTCATAGTAACTCTTGGTAATGTTCGCTCCTAGTGGGTGTCAAAAGTGTCACAATATAAAGTCTATATTACGACACTCATGATGCTATCAGGTGTGTGTACCTGCTGGGTATCTACTGGGCGTTTCCTTTTAGTGTTCCCGGCGGGGGAAAGCACAGCTGCTGGTTTTTCCGCGCTCTCGCGTGCGCGCGTGTGCGCGAGTGTAATTTACTTGAGAGCTTGTCTCCTGGTGGAATCGTTAAGGGTTTATTGCGCGCTGGGTGCCAATGCCCAGAGCCACGCGCAGGCACGATCATATATCACTTTCGCTTTCCCCGCCCTGTCTGATTACTCGGCGGGTGGATGTTCGCGTTGTCTTTCAGCTCACTCGCTCGTTTACCGACTCCCTCGCTCGTTCTCTCGCTCATTAATTAATTTACTCACGCACTCACTCACTCACTCACTCACTCACTCACTCACTCACTCACTCACTCACTCACTCACTCACTCACTCACTCACTCACTCACTCACTCACTCACTCACTCACTCACTCACTCACTACTCACTCACTCACTACACCAACTCACTCACTCACTCACTCACTCACTCACTCACTCACTCACTCACTCACTCACTCACTCACTCACGCACTCACTCACGCACTCACTCACTCACTCACTCACTCACTCACTCACTCACTCTCACTCACTCACGCACTCACACTCACTCACTCACTCACTCACTCACTCACTCACTCTCACTCACTCACTCACTCTCTCACTCACTCACTCACGCACTCACTCTCACTCACTCACTCACTCACTCACTGACATGCCCATGCACATGCGCACTAATAAACACACTCACGCGTACATGTACGTGACAGATGTGTGAGAGCTTTAATGGGATGTCAGTCGCTACTAGCTATTAGGACTACTGCACTCTCCTGGAGAACGACCGACTATGAGCTAACTAGTAAGGAGCGTGCAAGTCCTCGTCACATCTACAGCTTGCAAAATATATGCGCAGTACACCAATTCCGCTCACTGAGCCTTGTTCCAGAAACTTCTCCATGCCATTGAGTAGCGCAGTGATGATCCTCCTAAAGATAAAACAACGTTCTTGCTTGTAGATACACAGACACTGTGCAATTATCACATAATCTATGTTAATTTGATGATACAGTTTATGAGCTATTAATGGTAACATTAGGAATGGCATCTCAACTTTCGGTGAACACACGCCCATTGACGGGCATATCATTTCTGGGGAGGGGGGAGAGTGTGCAACAGATGCTGGAGGGTTCAATTACAATGTTACTAAAATTAGATTTCTCCCCTTGCCTGGTAATGTTTTTTTAACTACTTCTCTACAGACTGTCTAACATCACGATTGCCTGACAAGGAACGTGGAGAAAACATAATAATGTAATGCAGTGACTTCGTGTCACATGCGGGCAAGAACATTTGCATTCGCGTATGTCAGCTGTATGCATTCACGTAATGCAGGAGGCACAAGCATAAAGAACCAAAGGAGTGCAGCCCTCAAAAAAATTAGGAATCAGTGAATTTTTACGATTATGAAATAAGTCACAATGCAATTCTTGCTACTTCACGGTCACTAGATGATTAGAACATGCCATGCTTCACTCACTAGGCTCATAGAGCAGCGATTCATTGGCACTAATTCTAAAAGAGAATCTTTTGCAACAGACACTGGAGATATATCATAAAGTTTACCGGTTAACTTTGGCTGTAAACTTCTGCTTCTCTTCACTTTTCATGATGTAAAAGAGTGATGCACTTCCAGATATCTGTACAAGCTTGTCCGCGTGGTGTTTCTCCATTGCAAGTAATACCAACTATAGAAGAAACATCTAAAATGTCAGACGTTCAGGCAACACAGGGTCCTAACTAATAAAACTTAACCAAGCCCACTGCCTACAAAACTGCATAGGCTCATGCTACAATCATCCAAACCAGGAAAATATGCAGTTAAAACCAAGAATTTAATTAATTCACAGGCAAGAAAAAAAAGGATGAATGCAGCAATATTTTAACAACATGTTCTACCAATCTGTGGCTATGGTTTTAAGAAGCCACATTGAGGAATTCATACCATTAATTCAACATCCACAGCTAATGTACAATACAAACCTGCAGGGATTTGCGTGTGTTGTGCACAGGCGTGGTTCTGAATAGGTGAAAGAGATCGTTTAGCGCATGAACCAACTGCGCCGTCCTCTCCATGTAGTGTTCAACGGCCGTCAACACTTGCTGTTCGTTTGCGTCCCCAGCCACCTACACACACAAAACATATCGAACTACGCTCAGACACAAAATAGGGAACAACCTTTATAACAGTTAACAACATATTAACAGTGGCTGCCAGTCAAATTTCAAACTATATCGATGCAAAGGAAATTTTGCCCCTCACACGTTGGGTTTAATAACCGCCTTGCAATTTTCGACAAAATCATGTCTGTACTTTAATTCCGAGAGACACCCGAGCGATTTACGACATAGTTCTGACAAGGTTGCCATGGTTACCGTGAGGGCAGGGATGTTCGCTCGATGACAGGGGTCGTTGACACAGTTAAGCAAGCCGAGGAACTCAAGGGGGCGCTGTAGTCCTCGCAAAGCGATGATGTCACTGTTAATGCAGGCCCTGTCACCGAGCAACAGCAGAGACGATGTTAGGCAAGCTCACACAGGATCCTGGACCGCAGACAAAAGCTAACTGATTAAGTTGCAATGACGAACATAAAAACTGGTATAACTCATATACATATATACATATATATATATAGCAATCATTATACAGTATAAGTCAGATCTATATGACTTTGACAGCATCCCACATCCCTAAAAAATTTATAACAACTTTAGAAAGTTCAACATTATTACAGGTTAAGCCAAGCTATGAATGATAATCAATGGATGAAGAGTTAATTTTACTCAGATTATGAATACAGCAAATTTGGAACATGTGTGCATAAATATGAACACAGCGTGTAATTAGAAACCCATAATGTTTACTCTGTTGGTCTGGAGGTAAGGTTAGAGTCTTCTGGGTCGTTTGGCATGGGTTTATGATAAACCATCTCTGTTGACTCGGATTCCTCTAATCCAGCAAGCTCTGTACACGAGATGTCGAGTGAAACCTGTAGGAAAGTGACAGTCCGTCGACCCATTACACGAATACTACCCACGTAAAGCACCGTAATTAAATAATGTGGACAGAACAGAGACTACGACCCCAATCTTTGACGTCTAATCACAAACCTGGGGAGATGAATAGCACAGCTACATTTTGGAATAACGAGAGAGACAAAGTTTTGTGAGAAAACAACAGAGCAAATTACTCGTGTACCAGTTTTGGCAGACTGTCCACGATGCGCTTCAGCAAGGCGTCTGCCTTTTGGAAGTTCATTGTGACTTGCTCCTCGCTCTGAGAAATGTCGAGATGCCTAGACGAACGAAGCATCGTCAAACGCTCTCAGAGTCGGAAACTAAACTTATTTACCGAGTACATGCTGCCAGAGCAAAAGGCAGGCAGCAAAGTCACTCGTCCACGCAGAATCTTTGCTGCTCTTACTACGGTTTATTAGGAATTTCGTTGTCACAAGTATTTGCTGCCGACATTGAAAGCAGGCAGCAAATGGACGCTTGTAAGCAGCAAAACTGCCGGATCGCTGCCCCTAATTTCGAACCCCGAATACTCTGCATCAATGTCACCACCATTCACCTTTCACGGCCATGAAGAAACGAGAAAAAAACCGGCAAACGGAAAGAGATGGAAGCACGAAATGTCGTCACCGTTCCCCGTGAACAACCGAACAAAAAAGAAACGGAGCGAGACACGGAATCGCGGCGCGAGACGACTCACCGCAGTGCCTTCAGCTGGCAGATGCTGTCAACGATGTTGGGCAGTTCCCGCGCGTCGTGCATCGGCAGCACGAGGAAGCGCAGGCTCTGCAGGTGCAACGTGTACGACAGGTCGCCAAGGTTGCTGCACTGCGCGAGCTCCAGGTAGACAAGCTGCCGCAGCGGCAGGAGCGTGCGGGCGAGCAGCGACGCCGCGTCGGGGCATGCAAGACGCTGCAGAGTCAGCATGCGCAGCGACGTCGACCGCAACGCCAACCCCTCGTCCTCCTCCTGCCGTCCCCGCGTCTTACCGCCGCCGCCGCCGTCGCGACAAGGGAACAGCTTCTCGGCGCTGTCGCCGAGCCGCAGCACCTGCAGCTGCCGCAGGTCCCTGATGAAGGGCAGCGCGGCGGGCGTCAGCCGCGCGCAGCCTCCGACGTTGAGCTCGACGAGCGGGTGCCGCGCGACGACGGCCATGTCGGCGTCGTCGAGCTCCGTCGCGGCGAAGTTGGCGCGCTGCAGCGGCGTCTGCGTCGCGTCGCCGAATATGAGCAGGAACTCGGAGAGCGGCGCAAAGTCGCGCTGGCTCTCGTCGAGGTTGCGGTAGCAGCGCCGCCGATAGAGGAACGTCCGCAGCAGACGCTCGCAGATCTCCGTCGGCAGCGCCGTCGCCCCAGACAACCGGTACGCGCGCCCCGCGTCCGACGTCCGGTGGTGGCATTTGCAGAAGGTGTGCAGGTCCGTGACGCACCGATTGAGGCAGATTTCTACGAGCGGCAGAGGCGCGTCCAGTTGGAATAGGTCGCTATTATCCGGGCACTCCATTTTTAAAATGAACGTGTCCACATAGTTTATTTACATCTGAAAAAAAATTACGATTTATAACTAGCAACATGTCATTTATTTAATTACCTCAGAAAAATTTATGGATAAAAAGTAGCAATACGTATATTTAAATTTTGCTCACACTGTTTTAGGCTAGAATAGTTACTAAGGAATTAAGTTTAATCTCCGATTTATTGAAGTTTTAGTAGCTACGAGCTTTTGGGAGACAGATTTTCATGGCGGGCAATCATTAATAAAATGATTAATTAAATGATTAAATGAAAAATTTATAAAATCATGGAATAGCGTGTTACTGGGGACACAATCCCATTAAACGAATGCTATGCTACGTTATGCGATGATATGGTGGCACAGCTGTGTCCATGCTGTAACCAAACTTGGAATCTGCCCAATCTCGAGATTGCGCAACGATTGTGCTGCCCAAACTGCGGATTCCCTAGTTTGGCTGACCAATCTCAAGATTGTGCAAACTGAAAACAGTCGGTGATTCAACAACCGCTCATAGCGAGTGTGTGGTGTGGGTGGTGCAAACTAGGAATGGAATTATCTCATATTTATCCAATTATTTATTATAATCATTTATTATTTATACAAAGGTGCCAAACTCATTGAGGAAAGAAGGTATACGACCTTTATTATACTATAGTTTATAGTTATGATATAACATTTGAAATCCTAATAATCATATGTTTGTGCAAGCTCTGTTTTAGTGTTTACCTCTGTTTGCCCAATCTCAAGATTGGTTGCCCAAACTGTGGATGCGCTGAAATTCCAAGTTTGTGCAAGATTCCAAGTTTGGGCACAACATCCACGGTAGCTCTAGAACTATAGCCCTCTGCTCCGCCGCAGGGCTATAGAACATACTATGGTAATTTCCAGGGAGTAAGCAACGACAACTTTTTTGCAGTTAATAACTTCTTCGGTATGCCAAATAAAGCACATTCTCTGCCGCACAAATGTCTTAAGTTACTACAAACACTTAAATTAAACTGCAAACTAATGCTTAAATGTTGTACTTGCTATATTACTCGTCGACGAAGATTGTTTACCAACTTGTAACCGCCATTTTTTGCTAGTGAGCGGGCACAATGTATTTCCAAGTGGAGGGGTGGGCAGGTTGCACACTGCCATTTTTCGTTGCGCAGCGCTAGTGCGATTTGCAACCGCATGCAACCTGCCCACCCCTCCACTTGGAAATACATTGTGCACGCTCACTAGCGAAAAATGGCGGTTACACGTTGGTAAACAATCTTCGTCGATGAATAATATAGCAAGTACAACATTTAAGCGTTAGTTTGCAGTTTAATTTTAGTGTTTGTAGTAACTTAAGACATTTGTGCGGCAGCGAATGTGCTTTATTTAGCATACCGAAGAAGTTATTAACCGCAAAAAAGTTGTCTTTGTTTACTCCCTGGAAATTGCCATAGTATGTTCTATAACCCTGCGGTGGAGCGGAGGGCTATAGTTCTAGAGCTATGTCCACGGTAACACACCCAATTAATCAAATTAACACACATGTCGCATGATCACGATCTGTTGTCTAATTTTCTAAAGTAAATTCTTCTGCCTTTTATATGGATTCTGTGCATTTAATCATTAATTTTAATTTTCTTTCAGCCTACCTAGTAGAACCAGTACTAGTACCGGTAGTACGCGCAGTTGTGACGTGACGATACGACTCTAATAAAGGGAAGACGTGTAGTACCTGTCTAATAGTGTGTAATACTAATAGCCTGATCAGATTACCGGTGCAGTGAGTGAGTGCGTACACTCACACTGTAACAGTAGTCAGTAGGCCCTATAGTATACAGACAATACAACTACAAGTTACAACTTACAATACAAGTACAAGTTGAAATTACAGTACAGAGTTAGAGAGTAGGCCTAGCCCTAGGTCACAGTAGGTGACGCATTGACCAATGACTTGAGTTTCCGTCGATGTCGTGTCGTTGTTGGGACGACTCCCACTCTCTTTTGGCCTTATCATATGTTTGCCTAAAATTTCTTAACTGTATGTCTAGTTTAATAACACGGCATTTTGACTGTCACTTCAGTTTATGTATGCGATAACAAAATCGTTTTACCTCTATGATAAAATTTATGGTAATAATTATTTTTGAAAAAGCATTTTTCTCAGTAGTTATTTTTAAATGATTCAGTAAGTATTATATTGGATAATAGTAACTTTGCTGGTTGTAGCTAGTTGTAGCAGTAAGAAGAGGTACTCGCCCATTAAACCTCTCCTACTACTAGGTAGGTAAATAAAAATGGCAGCTTACAGAGCTAGGTGGGTGTGTTTGTTTTTTATCATTACTGCGGCACATTAGCAACGTCAGCGAATAATTGTTACCGCTGGCCGCAACGAGAATACGCAATTATCATAACGTGTGAAATATTCCAGCTGTATTTTTGTTATTACCTAAGTGCAATATCTAAATAACTAACCGGGTTTAGTTTACTTTACATCCTCAGATACTGTGGCTGTACTCTGGCTCATGAGTCATACTCATAGGCCTATGTCCCCCAGGGTACTGCCGGAACGTAACCTGGGTACGGTCCGGTATACCCTGGCACTATTTGATAAGGTTAGGGTTAGGGAGTAGGCGTAGGCGACTCCCTAGTCTCGTTAGTGGAGTAGGCGAGGTACGGTCTGGCATATTACTATTAGTATTACTATTACTATTAGTATTAGTATTAGATAGTACCAGGGACCGGGTACGTTCTGGTATACCGGACCGTACCCAGGGTACGTTCTGGCAGTACCCCGGGGGACATATAGACCCTCTCAGCTGTACTCTGTAGTGTAGCCGTAGCCGTAGGCTGTACTGATGTCTGTACAGTACACGTCACTACTAGTGCTAGTGTACTGCACGGTACGTAACGCAGTACTGACTACACTACAGCATGAGTGACAGTGTACTGTATTCTGTAACTATGTCATGTGTGTTAATCATATTATTAATTTATTATATCGTACTGTACGTTGTATCATCAATATCATCATGATTCATGTATTATAATTTAGGCCGTGGCTACGCGACCGGTTTCGGATGAGGCGCCGCTAGGCTATGTGTCCGGACATCTATCTCACACAGTGATCTTGTGACACGCACACGCATGATTGCGCAATGGGACGCTCTGCTGATTGCCGAGTGTGTGTGTGTGTGTGTGTGTGTGCAGGGTCTCCAACCATTCCGAATTCTGCGGAATCATTACGATTTCTAGGGTTAATTTTCGGCATTCCGCAGCGGCAAGGCTTTATATTCCTCCATTTAACGTTGGCAGCACTGTATAATATGTTGCACTGATTGTTCGCATTGTTCGCTTGGACACATTGTTTATTTTTTGAAGCCGAGTGCCTGGCACTGGCACGCGCTGGTGCAGTGAAAGACTGGGCAGGCAAGTGTTATTAATAGCCGATCACTGCGCAAGTCGTGTTCTTGAAATGCAGCGTCTGCCATTTACCTTAATTTTTCAGCACCCTGCCTAGCCATCGCCTCACGTGTTATTAATGTGTTTCCTAATGCCTTTCTGGTATCGTGGCATGGTCTTACGGTAAATGGAACAGCCTATCAGACAGGCGCGTCCATTTCTGCCAAGGTGTCGCGTAGCTTGTCTGCTATATCAGATTAACACCGTGGGGAGAATGGCATCCAATTGGCCATTGCCATTCCAAAAACCCGACTTTACAGAAATTCAGGAATGAATATACACAGATGTGGCTGTGACTTGGTGAAGTCAAAACTCAGTGTTCGCCCCCCCCCTTGTCCATCAATTTCATTTCGGCATTAGGAGTTCACAGGAGTTGGAGATCCTGGTGTGTGTGCATGGAGAGAGAGAGAGAGAGATGAGAGAGAAGGAGAGCTAAGGGTGTGGTGTGCCGCGGACAGTGGTAGCGTGCTCGTGCGTTGCGTGCCGTGCCGTGCGTGCATGTGGTGTAAAACAGAGAGCAGCTGTGGTTATGTATGTGAGCAGGGAGAGAGAGAGAGAGCTGTGCATGTGTGTGAGAGAGAGAGAGAGAGAGCTGTGCATGTGTGTGAGAGAGAGAGAGAGAGAGCTGTGTATGTGTGTGAGAGAGAGAGAAAGCTGTGCATGTGTGTGAGAGATTGAGAGTGAGAGAGCGAGAGAGGACGGATGAAAGGATAGACGGCAGCAGTGCATATATTGTATATTTACGGCAATCAGCAGAGCGTCCCGTTGCGCAATCATGCGTGTACGCGAGTCGTGCGATCACTGTGTGAGTGGATGTCTCGATGCGTAGCCTGGAGGCTAGGCGACCGGTTCCGGATGCGTAGCCACTGCGTATAATTTATATGTAATCTCCCACACAGTCAGTCTACATCTTTACTCCTGTACTGTACCGTACGGTATACTGCTATATTATAATATAACTACAAGAACAGAAGGGAGCGCAAGTCTGACTCGATTCATAGTCTTAGGATGTGGACTGTACTGTAGTGTAGTGTAGTTGGATCAAAGGGCTGGAGGAGTAGAGGTGGGGCTATTGCCGTATTGGCATGATGGGCATGCCCGTGCCGTTAACGTTAAATCTGAATTTGAATAAAATCACATGAATTCAAAATATGTATGCAATGATTGATATATTGCAACTCACATAGCTTTACAGCCCTTCCTCAGTTCCTGACAGCGATAGCAGTGTGACAAGGATAAAACAACGCTTACATATGCATGTCTAGTAATTAGTATGGAATGCTTTGTAAATTGTTGTTGTTTTCGTTCATGTACATTGATTTACACGTGCAAGGGAAAGGGCATTTCGCTACACAACATGCCGGTATAATATGCCATGAATCATGTACTGATCTCAACATTGCAATGTGTAATTTTAAGCTTGGGCTGTACAATTTTAAAATTTCTCTCAATACGGTGCTATATAATACCTTACTAACTTTTTTGTTACATCTACATTAGTGTAACAGTATTAGCATTGTTATATGTTATTTTCCAGGATCAAAGAATTTCACGATGTACTAAATGAAGATCAGATTAACCTAAAGCGTCTAAAGTCAATGTGCTTTAATGGTAGGTCTCGTAATTTTTCCTTGTCTTCCTCTGACATTATTATCAATTATTAAAATGAAGTACTACGGAATGTGATGGATGCCATCATCAGAGAAGCAGAAGCAGGAGAAACAACATGAAATTATAAAAATAAATATTATGTCATGTATTTTTATTTTTTACCTGGCTGGCTATACTTGGCAGTATTTTTGTATCCCCCGCGACGAAGTCGGCAGGGATACTATGGTTTCATGTCTCCCCAGCCGCCGCCTCTCGGTCCGCCGCAGAGAATTTCCCTTCCGCTCTATAACTCGACCCCTAATTGACCGAGCGTGACCAAACTTGGTATACTTACACATCTTGGGAAGAAGGTGTGCAGAGTACCAAAACCAGGTCACTGCGACCTTTATTTGACCTTGATTATATTTCCCTTCTGCTCTATAACTCGACCCCTAATTGACCTAGCGCTACCAAAACCATGTCACTACGACCTTTATTTGACCTTTACCTTGAACTTGATCATATTTCCCTTCCGCTCTATAACTTGGCCCCTAATTGACCTAGCGCTACCAAACTTGGTATACTTAAAAATCTTGGGGAGAAAGTGTGTCGGGTACCAAAACCAGGTTACTACGACCTTTATTTGACCTTTACCTTGACCTTGATTATATTTCCCTTCCACTCTATAACTCGGGCCCCTAATTCACCTAGCGCTACCAACCTTGGTATACTTACACATCTTGGGGAGAATGTGCGCAGCGTACCAAAACCAGGTCAGTACGTCCTTTATTTGACCTTTACCTTGATCTTGATCATATTTCTCATCCGCTCTATAACTTGGCCCCTAATTGACCTAGCGCTACCAAAACCATGTCACTACGACCTTTATTTGACCTTTACCTTGACCTTGATTATATTTCCC